AGTAGTAGTAAAAGTAGTAGTAAAAGTAGTAGTAAAAGTAGTAGTAAAAGTAGTAGTAAAAGTAGTAGTAAAAGTAGTAGTAGTAGTAGTAGTAGTAGTAGTAGTAAAAGTAGTAGTAGTAGTAGTAGTAGTAGTAGTAGTAGTAAAAGTAGTAGTAGTAGTAGTAGTAGTAGTAGCAGTTTGAGCTATGGGCTTCTTATGGGAGAAAGGGGAGAAGGAGAGCATAGAGCAAGCCTCATCGGTATTATTGTCATTGTCATTGTTCTTGTCATAAGGTGTTCCTTGTCATGGTGGTTAGTACCTATAGTCTCCATTGTAGTTTCTTTTTGTGGTTACCTTATAGGATCCTAAATATAGAATTGGTTAAACCAAAAACAGGAGCTACAATGGAGACTATAGGTAGCTGGAACCTTGGCCAGCAGCATTTCGGCCGTGTCTTCGACAGCAAGACCTCCGACGTTCCATGCCTAGGTACTCTCGGAGTGCAGGCATCAAAAGCAGGGCCTCCTCGTACCCTATTAAACAGGGGTATATGGCCCCTAGTAGTAGGTATTATAGAGGATAGAAGGAGGGCCTAGGAAGTGCCTTGAAACCTTTGGGGCCACAGCGCTTTCATCACAATTTCAGATTTGGGGTAAGGGCATTGTGGTTTGTAGGGGACAGGTCATGAGACAGTACGAAAAGAAACCAGACTTGGCCGAGCCAAACACTTGCCCAAATCGTAAATTGAAATCAGCGCTATTCATAAGCGATGTGTGCAATGCTAAGGGTGTGTTTCGTGTGATGCAGAATTACATGTTTGGCCAGGCGTGCTATTTGCAAGATCTGTTGGTATGCACGACTACGATAGAAGCCTGAGTAAATACCAATACTCTGTTGGGGATCCTTTTTATAGTCATAGTATGGTATACCAAAGCCCTATTCGTACCTGGATGCCTCCAAGTACAGTCATCTCGAAATGTACGATCAACGCTACTGCCAATCCCGAACAAACCTGCTGCGATCCATCATGATGTGCGTACGGTACCATATATTATAGCTGGTCATCATGAGAATCATGTCTGCTTTTATCATTAATACTACTTTCGCCCCTACACTGAACCATGCAGCTGCAAAGCATTTTACAAGTCAGAGTTGTTTGGAGACCGGTTGGCACGGAAGCTTAGGCGCTGAAGACCCTATACCCAAGAGACTCAGAAGCCGATGCTCCCAAGTGTCAGGAACTTCTGCATGCCTCCTCCAGCTTTTTCCGCCTGGGATCTGAGGCAGTTCTCCCCTGCGATTACATATGAAGGTTTAGAATCGGTGGTATTAGTCGGTCTAGTGCCGAAGGTACAATAGAGTATTACTGACTGATGCCTCAACACCTAATCGGTGAATCCCCTTGCAGTGACAGCACTTAATGTAGTAGGAGCCTTCGCAATGAGAATAGGGTTTGGGTGGGTATAGTGTACAACACTGTGTATGAAGGAACCAGGCCAGCCACTGTGAGGGCGGGATTCGCCTAAGCCTGGATTGTTGTGAATCCCAGCGGAAAGTTTACAGTAAAATCGACAGGAGATTCTGCTGTATCTAATGCTGCTAACAGTGATCGCCTTTAGGGTGAGGGGTGGGGATACAAGTACCAGTCGTCAGTTTCAGTTGCGAGTCGCTGGTTGCATTTGCTACCTACTTCTTAGTGACGCTTATAGCCTTTTTTGTCTGAAAGCCCGTATTGCCGAACCAGCTGCTTTCGTAGGGCCTCAAGAGGGTGGGTGTTGAGGGTGGGCTTTTGGAGGTTCCGCTGGTGGCCAGCCCCGTGTCGCCCGGAGCAAGCGAGCAGACTCTTGGGAGCAACGCTTTCTGCAACCTCTATATACATTGACGATTGATGTTATAGAACAGGGGCTTTTGCACTTCAGGAAACTGTTCGCTTACTTCGAACTGGTGGTCCCCGGGGAGGTTCTGAAGTTCTGCGACTTGTTATCCCTTCACGTGGGCCCTCGGGATGAAGTGAATCCAACGCCCAGGCTCCAGGCAGCCGTAAGTACTTTCAGGGTATGGGCAAAAGGGCCACAGTAGGATGTGATCTCGGGCCGTCGGGCATACGAAAGAGCACTCCCCCATGGATTGACAGAGGTCTTGAAAACAAAGAGCCCCCCATCGGTTTTCTGACACTGGCTGTACTGCGGCGTCCTGAGCCCTGAGCCTCTTTAAGAACATACTTCGCAGACCGTATGAACCTTCATGCGTAGATAATACAGTAAGGCAACATCATATGTCCGTTCGATCTATGGCCCACGCATGAAGCATACCTATGGTCTCCGATGCAGTTCCTTTTGCTTCACCCGGTCTATGACCAGGATCCCGTAATAAACAGCAGCCAGTCCGCCGCCCCCCCCCCCCCCCCCCCCGCCCCGAAACAAAAACAGTTTCACTGGATTCACTAAACTAGACAGACCCTGAACTCTCAACCGTACCATCTGCGTTCTCCGCCTGTCCGTGCGCGCATTTACCAAGTCATGACACAGCCCAACAAAACAGAACGAACAACTATCACATGGAGCTGTGTCAGTGCAGACATCGCCAAGGAGTTTATCTCTGCGGGCCCGGCAGCTCGTGAAGGGGGAGGACAGTCTTTGCTTTGTAGGTGTAGGGTTTCAGGCTCGAGGGATTCGTGTTTTAGGTGTTTTGGTCGACGTGGGTTGTGGGATTCGGGATTAGGGTTCTCTTGGGTTTAGGGGTTCAGGTGTTTAGGTTTAGAGATGTTTAGAGTCATGTAGGGCTTCTGTAGGTTTAGGGTTTGGGGAAATGAAGGCCTTGTAAATATACAGTCCTGCACCGAAAGGTTTCCTTTAGAGGCCCTTATCTAGAAGCCTCATTTACTAGCAATACTATCATTCCTCAGGGCTCCTTAATATATCTGTTGTTCGGTATACCCCGACACCCTCTTCTAACTACTGAGGCCTCCCTTTAGCTTAAGGCCAGAACTCCCTTAGTCCCCCACAAGTCCACAAGCGCAGCTCGGAGCCTGAACCTGAGCAACATGCCCCCACAACTCACGAGCATGGTGGGTTTTCATTTTCCAGCAAAGGATTTTTTATGGGGTCTCGGGGTCTTGGGTTCATGCTTTGCAGAGTAGGGCTGAAGAGGTCTAAGGTGTAGGGCTGGAGAGGTGACGCCTGACCCTAGCCTAATGCAGGGGCCTTAATAATT